GGGGGGGGGGGGGGGGAAATGTCAACCCGAAAACCAACTTGAATTGAGATGGATAGTTCGAGTTGATCGAGTTATTGGGTCATATGAACACGACGTCGATGAAAACTTTTAACATTTTTAAGGGTAAAATCATAAATTCAAAAAGATTATAATCAAAATTAAGAACTTAAAAAGGAGATTAAGAATTTGAGTATATTTTACCTAAAAAATTTAATTTTCATAAATAACCTAAAACCCCTTGAGAATCAAATCAACCAAAATCGATCATACAAAAAGCAAAAACACTTCAGCTCAATAAAAAATAATATTAAACAATGATAAAATTACATCTAATTTCATCGTTGCATTAAATTTTCAAATAATCTTATTTTACTTTTCGAACACAAAACAAAATTACACATTTTCAACGTCTCCAAATTCTTAGGTCTCTTAACTCGAGATAAGCTAACTTGAACGGTACAATACACGTCAATTTTTTTCAAATAATAATTGATATCTTATTCATTAAGCTATGCTCGATTTATCGTGCATGTCTTATCATTTAAAATAATATTCGATGCATTTTCTATTCAACGAGTTTACGTGATCTTTTAAAATTAGAATCAGATCCTAACTATATAAGAACGACAACCTCCCAAATAATTTAGTAAGGTCGGAAAATATATATAAATAAAGAAAATATTTTTTTAAGCATAAATTAAATGTTTTATAATAAGTATTAAACAAATGAATGCTTATAAATTTTCAAAAATAACTTTTTATAATTTAAATTCTAAAAATTATTTATAATTATTAAGGCTCTAATTTATTTTTAATTTTTTTTAAAAATAGGGAAAAAAAAACGATGAAAATATATTTATAAACATTAATCTTAAAAATTTGTCATTTATTATTTTTTACTTTCCAAAAAGAAAAAGAATTACTTTTTATTTTTCTCACCAAAAGAATTTATTCCTCTTATAAATTTTATTGCTTATGTTATTTTCTATTTTAAATAATATATAATAATTTAATTAAAAAATCTAAAAATATGGTAAATGGCAGTTTTCATGATTTTATAAAGGGTGTTTTGTTCTCCTCCCCAACCAATGTGCGACATCACAATCCACCCTCTTCGGGGCCCAACGTCCTTACTAGCACACTGTCTCATGTCTACCCCTTTGGGGAACAGCCTCCTTACTAGCACATAGTCCGGTGTCTGGCTCTGATACCATGTTAGATGAACACAACTCTCTATAATGGTATGATATTGTCCACTTTGAGCATAAACTCTCGTGGCTGCTAAAATGTTGGACTAAAAAATTGAAGGAAAAAAAATTCAATAAATTAGTTGCTTTAAACTATTAATAAAATATTCTCGAGAATCAAATTTACTTTAGTGTCTTATCTATCGAGTAAAACTGAAACCGACCATCAAAATAAAAATCTAAATATGAAAATGACGGCTCTTATTTATATTTATATAGTTTAAATTTTTTTAATTTTCATATTTGTATCATTTAGTCGAGCACGGAAAAAAAAGTGTAATAGATATTTATATTTTTAATTATTTCAAATACCGTCGGTAATTTTTTATTTAATAGAATGCTGGCGTATTCGACATAGGCTAGCAGTTATTGTTCGCTTTGACTCGTTAAGCATCGTACAGTTTTCAATATTTATGTCGAAAGAAGATTAACCGTTCGAAAATTTGTGAGATATTTTTTAAAATTTAGGTACTAAATAGATACGGACATCAAAATTTTATATTTTATTTATTTATAAATTATAAAATTGTTTAATTTATTTTTAAAATTTTCAATTTTGTGTTCCATAAATTATTGGTTTATTATTATTATTATTATATATATATATATTGTCTAAATCTATTAAAAGTTTATAAAATTAACAAATATAATATAAATTTTAATTTTATATAAAAAAAAATTCATTAATTTTTAAAAATTTTAAATATAAAATTTAAAAATTTTCCAAATTTGCAGCCTTCTTCCTGGTATAAATACAGAGCTCCCCCACTTTCATTTCTATGAGTTGCATCGTTAAAAGCTTCTGCAAATTTTTTTGTTTACTTCTCTCTTTTTTCTCTGCAATTTCTTCTGTAACTTCTAGGTTTTCAGCCATTCATGGGAACTGAAGGTCCTCCAAGAACAAGCATTAATGGTGGCAACGACGATGTTTGTTCTCTCTTTCGCTTTGTTCTTCCCTTTTTTTCTGTTTCAATCGATAATCGAAACAGATTGATTTTCCTTTTGGAATTTTGTTGTTGTCGATGTGTTGGACTGAACTGAACTCAAATCGTTAGAATCGTGGTTTATTTTAGGGGGAGATTTCATGATTCTATAGCTCATTTATGAATCAATCTGTTTTTCTTCTTCTTTTGATTTTGATTTCGTTAGTCCATTTTGAATTTCAATCTTCTTGTTTCAATGAACTAGTCAGTTTTAGAAAACTATACCTATTTATTTTATTTTTCTTGTTAGATGAAGTGTATAATCTTTTGAATTGCTGCGTTCAAACTGACATACTTCAATCATTTAATCATTTTTTTTAGTTCAACAATATGTAGCGGTGAGAATTTGAATCTCTTAAACAACACTTTCGACTTAATGATCGAAGATAAATGTTTTAACTAGTTAAGCTACGCTTTAGTTGAAGGACCTTTTTTGAATATCAATCTTCATGCTCCAATAGACTTGACTTAACACCTTTCCTACTCTATTATACATTTATTTTTTGGAGGGGAGATTTAAATCTCTTAAATAATACCTCCTTCAGCCTCTCGAATTTGTTGGTTAAGGATATATGTTTTAACCCGTTAGAGTTAGGGTTGAATTATTGACATGTTCATTTTTTTTATTGTGTCATAAATTTATTGCGTTTACCAATCATCCATAATCATCCACTTGAATAGCTAAAACCTACTTGTTGGCTTTGGTAATTTAATGTTTCTATTCATAGCCTTGATGGCTTGTCCTTGTTTAGTTCTAAATTTTTTACTGCACAACTTGAACAAAACAGGTTGCCTTTTGTGGTGTGATTTCATGTTAGGAGATTAGTTGAGTTTAATATGATGATGGTGAATATGACTTGTAGTTTGAGACCACAAAAGGAAAAAGAAAATATCAGTGGGTGTCCACATATCAGCACTAGACTTTGCCATATGGTCTGTGGGTCCAATTCCCAGAAAGATTTTAGGGTGATGTGTGAAATTTGGATCATGAAACATAATGAAGAACCTTTTAAACATTACTTTAATCTTGAGACTGATTTTGAGATTGGAATATTCTAATCAACCTTAGACTTCCAAGATTATAATATTTTTACTTTATACATCATTCTGTTACTGATTGCTTGCTCGCTCTTTATTTGGCTTGCCATTGAAATGATATCTATCTTTTGGCTGATTGATAGGGCACCAATAAAACAAAGGAACACAAGGCAATAGATGATTGGCTTCCAATTTCTTCTTCAAGGAATGCAAAATGGTGGTATTCTGCCTTTCACAATGTGGCTGCCATGGTTGGTGCTGGCGTCCTTAGTCTTCCGTCTGCAATGGCAAGCCTTGGATGGTAGTAAGCTCAAACTCGGATGGTAGATAGAACTTGGTGAAACTTTAACTACCCTTAGTTGTAAGAGCCCAAACTCACTGATTTTCCTCCTCTTTGGGCTTTCTCTTTTGAATGGACCCCAAACTCACTGTAATACCCTTAGTTGTATGT